AGAGAGAGAGAGAGAGAGAGAGAGAGAGAGTGAGTCATCACAATTACCGCTCTATTAAAACAACAGAATACCACTAATGTAATTATAATTACTAGTAAAAGTACCCGTTCTAGGAACGGAATAATAATGAAGAAGTATTAGGAAAGTTAAGAAGAGGAAAAAGACTGAAAACAGGAAAGAAACAAAACATAAATATTTTACCTTGAATTTATCCATGTAGCAACCCCTCTTGACTACCTCTTGGGGTAAGACTTCTTCCCTCTCTTCGAAGGCGTGGCATTTTCTCCTAAAGTTCCAGCTCAATCACTTTTTAAAAAAAGAGTTAGGCCTATATGCCAATTATTGCTTTCTAGAAGAACCTAATCTAGATTCTACATCTAGCCTACATCTATAAAGACATAGGCCAATAATTGGAGAAAGGAGCCTAGGCCCATACATAGATCTAAGTTGAGAAATTCACATTTTTAACAACCGACAGGCGTCACAGATGGCCTAGATTTCTAGATCTATTCTCAGCAGGAAAAAATCCACTTTCAAAAATACTTTCATTATTTTTTTTATCTCCATCTAGATTCACCGACAGCCTAACTCTAGCAGGAAAAAAATCCACGTTCAATACTTCCATCTTTCTTGATCTCGATCTAAGATTCACGTATAGATCTAGCCTAGATCTAGATCTTAGAATCTATAATGCACAGTAAGAAAAATCCACTTTCAATATTCAATAGGTTATTGAAATATCACAGATCTAGATTCTACCTTCATTTCATGATTCTTCTTGATCTCGATTTAGATCTCGATTCTAGATCCTAGATTTTATCTAGACACTGTGCACAAAATACAATCATCCTTCGGCGTGCGCGCTAAATCCAATGTAGGAAAAATCTACTTTCAATACTTCCATGATTTTTTTTATCTTGATCTAGATTAGATATAAGATCTAGATATACACACATACATGCAACTACACGCTGGGCGTAAACCTGGCTACGATTGGCTGAACATTTGACTTTGACCCATGATTACATTAAGTAGGCCTACGGTAGGCTACTCTTGGCGCTTTCGACGACACCCTCCTTGTCACTCTCACCATCCTCCCTCTGTAGTGCTTTCTGGCCTCTTTTATCTCTTCCTTTCTCTCTCTCCTTCTCTCTCTCTCTCTCTCTCTCTCTCTCTCTCTCTCTCTCTCTCTCTCTCTGGGGCACCGTTAGATCCGGACAAATATTATAAAATCGACCAGGATTTGTATAATATTCCTTTTTTTGACTCCACTGAGCTTTACATCAGCCGTATCGATTAGAGCAGCGATTGGGGGTATGAGGACTGCAGGAAATTTCATTGAGTGCAAACGTGTCTTTATTTATTTAACACTAACCCATTTCATAGACTGCCCACACCGGAACTCGCTCTTTGTTCTCTATTTTATTTCAGATTGTCAGTACATTACTAAAGTTCAGGCATGCTGCTAGCTCAGTTGCTATTATAACTGGCCACAGAGCGGATGACCTTGGTTTGAATCCCCAACGTGTTTATGTTTGAAATTTAGTTGTTTTGACAGTTTTCAAAGTTCTTCTGGGCTCGTTTGGTATCAAGTTGGACTACGAAACAGATTACCCTAGTTCGAATCCCCAACGGGGCGTTCTGAATTTCGGTTGTTTTGGGGAGTTTGGGGAGTTTGGGGAGTTTGGGGAGTTCTTAATTAACGTTCTCCACTTATTTAGCTTATTGAAGATGGACGTACAATTCGGAGGTCCCGCCTCTTAAATAATCTTACAGCATTGAAAGAGACGTTAAACCTAAACAGTTTTGCACAATTCTTTTTTTTTTCTCAAGCAGGCAACGTTACCTTCGAAGGCCTGGCCTCCTAAAGAGTCTTTCACCATGGGAAAAAGGCAGTAGAAGTAAAACCTATAGCGTGTCATGCATTTAAAAAGACCAAAAGATCTAAAACTTAGAAAAGGACAACAAAGTTACTTTGAAGTTATAACTGACTAGGACTGCTTTTGGGTTTTATCACACCCGAGTCTGTTGAATATTAATTTGGGCTTTTCGTTGTTGTTGCACCCAAAAGGTGTAGGAATCAATTCACGCGTAGAAAAGATTATTCTATTAAGATTTGTCCTTTTCCTACTTGCATCATACTGCATCTTTCTCAGATTGGGTTGATCCTGGCGGATAGGTTCGAAAATCCACCTCTCCTTTGTCTGAATTGCGTCGATGACAGCGTAACACAATTGCAATACATGTAATTACAATAATACGTGGAGTTAACTTAATGTAGTTGAAAAACAAGTAATATAAACTATTTTGATCCACAATACATCCTGGGAGTAAAGCCCACATTTTATTAAATAATGACATTGATACGAATTTTACACCACTTTGAACTCTAGTAGGCTACGAACTAAATTTGTCGGTCCGGTCTATATGGTTATGTGCACATACACGTATCAATGTAGCAGTAAGTAAACGAAATCTCATGTAAGCCATTAAAAAGTTCTAAAAAGCCGCCTACTTTTGGCCGATATCTATCCTGCAAATGACCCAAATGAAGCTTTGGAGCTACTTAAATAGCAGTTTCGATCCTTTAAACAATGAAGAGATATTTCAAAGTTCGGACGACTTTATGTGCACGGGTGAGTAGTTGGATAGTGTCACTAGTACGTCCTTCATCTTTTCTTTTCGTCTGTCACTATATTCCTTGTACTTATTGACCGTTACCTGCTTTTTCCAGGCAGTTGTTTGCCGTCATGGCGTCGATGGGGTTCGTTTATTAACTCTTAGAAATTGAAAGTGAAGTTAAGTGTGAAAATATGAAGCCTAAATGTTAAAATTTTAGTATGAAAAAAGAGAGCTCAAGCTACAAGGCTGCGCCGCCCTTCAAAATGTTCAGATAAGATAAAAGATTTGTTGCATGGCAATACAGTTGTTTTAGGCTACAGGCAAGCAGATATTTCCGATGAAAGACGAAAATAAGAAAATACAATTAACCAAAATTTAGTTAGGAGACCTGCTGACTTCTAAGAGTCAGGACAAACAACGGTGCACATTCAATTTTAGGACATGCATAATATGGTATTGCGTGACCCGCTAGGCTTATAAAAGTAGCGGTCAAGGACATTAGCAAGCTTGATATCGGGCACAAATAGCCTTATATCGATCGTGGGGGGTCACGTCGAATCAATACTTGTACCCACATTTCGGCTACTGTGTCCATGAGAGTGGGGCCGCGCAGGACGAAAAGGGGCACAATGACGGAAGCTGGCTCGGACATGCGCAGGAAGCACTTATCAGTCCCAGTGCTGTTGCCACCATCTGGGATTTCCTGGTATCGTGACGTCACGCAGTTGACCTAGAGAAAGGCCACTCGTGATTTGAACGCGTTTGTCTTGGGTGATATAGTTGGTAATGGT